CCTCTTTTCCTCTTCCCCACCGTGTGCTTCGCGAGGAAGACGAGAGCACCGTTTTCACCCCCCTTCCTCCATTCTAGTCCATCACAAAAGGTTCCTAATAGCTGAAAAGCAATTACCAAAGGTGATTAGAAAAGGAAGTATGCGAACCCTGTGTCCATAAAGGTGCTGACTGTGGTTTGGGCTAAGATGGCGTTCCCTCATCTCTCAGAGCTGTAAACCCGCCAGAGACAGCTGTTTTGTGGTCTTATGAGGAGCAACTGTCTGGAGCACTTGTGGGCAATCCCAAGTCCTTTGCTTGTCTGGAGAGGAATCCTGAAGAGCTGGTCCCTTCGCTGGCGCTTCATTCCGCTGCAGTTGTCGGTTCTGCTCTTCAGTTCACCATTTCTTCCCCAGAACCCTGGCTTTTCAATAGTCCAGGGAGGAAGGGGGCAGTGCTGGCCCACTTTGCCCAAAGCAAGAGGGGGAAGTATCTACCCAAGTCATTTGGTGCAGAGCTACACTTGAGCCTGGCGGCATGTACGTGGCTTTTCTCCACTGCCGGTCACAGGTACTGAGGACGTTTGAGGAGGGGTGGTGCCTAAGGCAAGAGCTCTGTGGCCAGAAGGGCAAGCGGCAGCCTTGGTGAGGGTGGCCAAGTGATGCTTCTCTCTGCACTACTGGGAGCAGAGGTCTTCCCATTCTCATGGAATGGAATGGAATGGAATGGAATGGAATGGCAAGGTTAGATTCCACAGGTCCAGCCCTCAGTCTGTCCCAGATCTCCTTCTCTCCAGCTCCCTTGGAACCCTGATGTGCCATTTGTAAAGCAGGGAGGGTGAGATGTGGGCCTTCCAGAGGTTGAGCTACAGCTTTCAGCATTCTCACCGTTGTGGGGCTTGCTGCTGGAAGCCATAGTGCAAAAGCACCTGAAGGGCCACAACAGTAACCCATGCACAAGTCCATGTAAGACTGCTCTTGTCTCTTTCTTGTTGAGGGGGAAAACATTTTGTTAAGAGGCTCTCCCTTGCGAAATGCAGATTTTAATAGTTCAATCTTAATGAAGGGATCCACATAAAACAACGATAACTGGTGCTGTTTTTAGTACTGTATTTTGGTAGATGTAAGACAAGTAGAAATTTCCTCCCCTTAACAGAGTTTTTATTTTTTAGGGAACACAGACTCTGAGCGACCCCCCAATGCACATTTCCCATTCAACTTCTTAACCTCTCCTCACATAAACCCCCTCACAACCCCCTCCCTCACCTGTGGTCTTGTTTCCTGTTTGTGTAAGTAGCCAACAGTGTCCCTCACAGCTTTTTGTGTGTTTATTTGTGCTCTTGATCTGAAGAATGCTCCTGTGTACCAGTTGAAGAGCATTAAAGCCTTCCTGCTCAACCATTTTGTTTCAGGAATTCCCACCCAAATTAAAAGGAAGGACAGGCCCTAACTGATGCCAGTGCAAGTTTCTTTTTCCCCTAATTCGCAAGTAGGTGGGTGACTCTCCTGCTGGCTGTGAGTTTACTCATGTTTGAAAATCATGTTTAAAAACTCATTTTTAGTGCTCCACTAGAGCACAAATCAGCCTTAAAAAATACTTCCAATCACTTTTCATGAAAAATGATTTACAAGAAATGGTGATAAAGAGAGGCAACCCTAACATGTAATCCATCTTCCCCAAGGTATTGTCGAAGGCTTTCACGGCCGGCATACGATGGCTGGTGTGGGTCTTCCGGGCT